GAGATTATGCAGCCTGTGGTATAAGTTATAATGGGTTTGTTTAATTAAGAATAGTGTGATTAGAGTTGTAATAAGCTCTATTCTTGTGGGTTAAATTGATTAACACAAGTTTCTTTTTTGTTTTGTTTTAGATTGTTTAGACAGGACTGTATGGATTGATCAACATTTATTTGTTTTGTTTATCTACGACTTGGTCTACTTATATTTTAAAGAGGAGTTGACTGGATTTCCTACTTTATTTGGGTATGCCTGGTTCGTTTTTGTCAGTTTTGATTTGATTGATTTTTTATTGGTTTGCCACGATTTGTTTAGTTTTGGATAATCTGTAATTTCTTCTACTTAGGTATGGATAGAGTCAGTTTCATAGGAATTGGAAGAATATGTTTGATTAAGCTTAGCTATATTCGATCTCTACCAGATGGTTTTCTCTATGTTGAGTTTGATTCATTTGCATCAGGGTTGGTTGGTTAGATAGGGAATAATCTAAWATTGTCCGCATCTTATTTCGTGTGGGTTGACTCTATTTTAGTTTTTGACTTGATAAATTAGGTCGGTTTGGATAATATTGGATTGTTTGGACTGATTTCAGCAATGATTTTCTTTGATGAAATCATTCTGGGTGCAATAGATAGCTTTGGTTGGATTTTTAAAGTAAAGTTAATTATTTCTTCCTATGATTTTGCTTTATCAGTTACGGAATGATCGTTTCGGCCGACATGAAATGGTTGTGTGGGTTCCAATTTTGGTTGGTCAGGTTGGATTTTGTTATAAATAGGTTATGAAGAGGTATGAAGAAAAGGTAGGTGCTGGATCAGAGAAGAACAGTCACAATTTCAAACATTGTGACTATTTAAAAAGTAGTTAACAATTAATGACTATTATTTTGAATTGTGCCTCTTGATCACACCCGATCGAATCGTGACCGTTGACCTCATCAACGGTGATCAACGGTTAGCGTCGCACCAAAACCAAAGTTGCCCTTCGCGAGCCACGCGGATGCGCACGAAGTGCGAGCAAAGTGCGCCTCTAAAGCACCTCACTACGCCGCACACACGTATGCACGCGTGTTGTGCGGTATCAAACCCCCATACTCTCCTCTATTATTTCTAAGGAGTGTAAATCAGCTCCTATTAAAATATTGAAAACAAAGCTTATAATTTTCCAATGTGGGACATTTCAAAACTGGGTTTTGTAAGAGAAAAGTTAATTTTTCAATCAAGTGTGCAGGTGTAATTTCATTATGTAATTGACCAATCAAACCCATTGGATTTAATCTCTTATGAGATTAAAATCCAATACGCCACACAACGGTTGAAGTGACCCGTCAAGCACTTCTTTGCTTCAACCAATTGGTTATTTTAATTAAAAACAAATTTACAAAATTACCCCTAAAAGGGGCGGGGTGATATTAAGAACAAATTAAAACATGTTGCCATTGCACTACACAATCATTTGGGAGTTATAGCGACTTTAGGCATGTAACGCCGACATGCATGAGATTTTTATATGCATTGCTCGACAAAAATACACTCAGCCCAATCCTAGTAGAATTCACAAGGGGCTGCACACTTTACTCAGGTGCTCCTCTACACATGTTTCTTGATAGGATACCTTCTATCAATTCATACGGGGGCTGTAAACATAACGTGATACTAATGACTGGAATTTTTCTTGACAGAAAACCTTCCATCAAGAAACAGGAGCGCTAATTTACAAGAAACACCGATCTATACTATACGAATAACTAAACATCACCACGACTTCACCCCCACTGACACCTTCAATGCTCTATACATGACTTGAATGGTCTATAAAACATTACAAGCCAATATAACAACACCAATAAAGAGAAGCTCAATTCTAATAGACAATCCCAAATATGCTCTCAATTTCAATAGGACGCAAAATCACCGAAATCTTTTTTTTTTCTATGACACGCATGAGCCCACAATTCGTAGTAAGTCAATCAACTCCCCATTCTCAATTATCTAATCATGAAGATCCCAAAGAGTTCTTATCGATAAAAATACTCTTATCAATAAGTAGAGGGGGCTAATTGTAAGTACATGTAATTTGTCACCATTAGATTTGTAATAAATATCCTAGATAAGAACTGTATAGAGAAACCCTGGATGGAGAGAGTGCTATGGTTGACCTGGGCAAGACGATAGACAATGTTTAAGGTATCAGAACAACTAAGATACCTCTGTAACAACATGACAACACTTTACAAAGGCAATGTAGGGCTCATACACTTGCGATGAGCATAAAGTGTCATTCTAAACCTACGGCAAGCATTGGACAGTGTCACATGCCTATGATGAATGGTAGGCATTACTCAAAACTGACAACGAACGATTAAGCACCTATTCACAGTCGACTTACACTTCTTATAGTCATAGCAAGTTGCGGCAGGGCATCTCGAGGATAATTGATAAAATACTCGAACACGTCAGTTGACTAAAGACCTTGTCTCGACACGTAGCCACGAGAAAACCTATGAAGGGATGTAGCCAACACGTGCTATGTGAGAACCCTCAATAAAAAAGAAACTTTATTCCTAAAAGATCTCGTGGAGATGTGACGAAACTCTAGTGGAGTTTACTTGATGGCTGACGTGAGAGATAAGATTCCCTTCTCTAATAAAAAAAACTCTTTTTGGGATTCTTCTCTTTATAGTCTTGGAATCCCCTCTAAGGGGGAGAGACAAGTCACGAGAGACATAAAAACTCCCAGAATTCCCTAGTGAAAGACCTTATAACCTTCTCTCGAAGATAATTAAGTTTATCCATAACTTTGATTCGAAGTCAACCCCAAGGAGACCATTCTCTTCTCTATAAGTGTTTAAAACATATATAAAAAATAATCATCAATAAAAGTTATAAAGTAAATATTTATTTATAAAGTTATAAAGTAAATATATATTAAATTAAATGAATACCAAAAAATTATGTTTTAAATTAAGTTTGCCTGTATTATTTCAGTTTTACTGGTGAAAGCCCTCCCGTTTTGTAATCTTGCCTTTTCGTAGATTCATACTTAATCACCTCATGCATATCTCCTAATGAACCCCCCATGCGGGTTAAACCCATCCTTTTCTCACGCGTTGGAAAGACCGAAAGACCCAGGGATCGGAAAAAGGACAAAGAGTGGCCAAAGCAAAGTAACCGTCACGGGAAACCCAAAGCCCCCACCAACACTTTGCTAGCATACGCCCATCCTTTCTGCGCACGTTATCAACAGTTTAACCGGGAGCGCATGTTAGCATGTCTCCGGGTACCGGTCGAAGGTTTCGTTTTTAAACAGCTCTTATTTTTTGTAAACAGCTCACGCTTATGCTTCCCGACTAATCCATTCACAAATTAATAAACAGAGACCATTTAATCCCTTTATAAATAAATAAACAGAGAGACAGATGGTTTTTTTTTTTAACAAATCTATTTTTTATTTTTAACAAACCCAGTTTGAGAGAGAGAGAGAGAATTTTCAATTTTATTTTGGGAAATTTAGAATTCAGTCCACCTCATAGACTTCTATTAGTTTGAGTGATAGAGATGTCAACGGCAACAGACACAGCTCCTCTCTAATATTAAAATCTTTTATACTAGAGACGCAGCAATTATAGTTGCAAGCCCAATAACGAAAGCTTTCGGAAAATGTCAGGCTTTTTTTTTTTTTTGTATCTGAGTAGTTGCAGAGATCTTTTGTACTGATCCTGATAAATAAAATGTTTTTCTTTATCTCTTCGAGCAGCAACTTTGAAACCCAGATGATACCTTTATAATTAGGAAACCAAATTTGTCTTTTGTTTCTCTTATGTCTTCATTGGTTCCTCCTTCAGCTCGCTTCCTGTTTGTTCTGAATCGCTTTTGAAATAGAAAATAGAAGTGGTTTCAGAAGGAAGATTGGTTCAATGCGGTATCTCAGAAAGGGTAGCTTGAAGAGGCTTTTCTCAGTTCGCAGACGCAGCTTCGAGGAAGAGAATTTGAATGAAAATGAGAATACTGAGCAGGACAGCAAGGAAGCAATGGTAGGTCTGCCAGAACCGGAGCCATCTCCGAAACCCACATGGAGATGCTTTTCTTATGATGAAATCGTTGAATCTACTAATGGTTTTAATTCAGGTTTGTTTCTTAAAATTTAAGAAGACCCAGTTTTGTTCTGGTAATATTCGATTCTTGTTTGTTAAAGGAGTCGATTCATGTGTTTTGGTTTGATGGGTATCAGATAATATGGTCGGGAAAGGTGGATATGCAGAGGTTTATAAGGGAGTTCTGAAAGATGGACGGGTAATTGCTGTGAAAAGGCTAAGCAGAGCTTCAACAGATGAGAGGAAGGAGAAGGAATTCTTAACAGAGCTTGGAACAATTGGCCACGTTCACCATCCAAATGTGTCGGCTCTGTTGGGTTGCTGTATCGACAATGGCCTTCATCTCATCTTCGAGTTCTCCTCCCACGGTTCTGTTGCATCTCTTCTGCACGGTATTTCTGCAAAAATCTTAGTTTTCTGATTGGGATTAGTATTGATTTAATATTTGCTGAAATGGGTGCGTTTTTGTAGAAGAGAATTCGGCACCTATCGCCTGGAAAATAAGGTATAAGATCGCTATCGGAACAGCTCGGGGCCTCCATTACTTGCATAAAGGCTGTCCAAGAAGGATAATTCACAGGGACATCAAGGCTTCTAATATTCTCTTGACAGTAGATTTCGAACCTCAGGTGGACCTCTGGAACAACTCTCTGTTCTGTTGTGTAATTTGACAGAAGCTCGGTTTTTGTATAGTTCGATTAGCTTGATTGTCTGAATTGTATTAGATTTCTGATTTCGGACTGGCGAAATGGCTTCCATCTCAATGGACTCATCACTCCATTGTTCCAATAGAAGGAACATTTGGGTATGTAACTCCAGTAATTTTTCTTCGGTAGTTAAATCAATGGAAATTGATAGATGGAGGGGAATTTGAGTTTGTTCATCACTGTATTCATGTTGTCAGGTACTTAGCACCTGAATACTTCATGCATGGGATTGTAGATGAGAAGACTGATGTTTTCGCCTTTGGAGTCTTCCTCCTTGAGATCATCTCTGGCAGGAAGCCAGTTGATGGATCTCATCAAAGCTTGCTTAATTGGGTATTGCTTCTTCACCGCTTTTTCATAGTAAATGTTAATAATGCCATTAAATGCTTGTTCATTAGTATATTGTAATCTTGTACATACATATATTCAGGGTTCTGCTTGAACTGCCTGAATCTGAATATGGGTCTTAGTAGATTGATTAAATTTTACTTATCTGAGATTAATTAGTTATAATCTTGATAGGCAAGGCCTCTCTTGAAAGAAGGGGACATAGAAAGGTTAGTAGATCAGAGGCTCAGAGGTGAGTATGATGTTACACAGCTGAAGAGACTCACCTTCACAGCATCTCTATGCATTAGAGCATCGGCCACATGGCGTCCAACGATGAGTGAGGTAATTTAGTTAGGTTATCTGTTACTTTCTTGCCACCCTTGTTATACACTTAATGAATATAGTTATATTCTCAGGATCTTTGCTGTGTGGTTCTACTCTTGGATACGTTTATGGAACTGGGGGAATTTCTTTTAGACAGAAATATGTTATTGTTTGAGCTCACATTGCTTTCTTATTTCGTAGACTCAAAAGCTGTCTTCATTTCTGTTCTAATTTCTTATTTCACAGGTGAATTGCATAACCACCCCTTAATTAGATGCTATATCATCATCGAAAGGACCATTTTATCATATAATTATTTATTATTCTATGAACCTAATTGGTTGACCTGCCATGTGCCTAATAAATTATCTAAATTGAGCTGGGATTTTTGTAATTTGATCTTATTAATATAATGCTATATTGTCAACTTTCATTCAAGAAACGTGTTTGTTTGGCTGGGAATGACTTTCTATACCTTATTATATCGCTTTCACCAGTGAGACTTAACATTTCTGATTTGGGTTTTTGTGGTGTTGGTGAGAGTAATTTGGGTTTTCTTCGCAATGTTTGAGTAATTGCTGATGTTTAATCCTACCTAACACAAAACGCCAATCTGCTAATACAGGAAAAGAAAAACTCACTCTTCAAGGGAAAAAGAGGATCAGGAAATGACCACAAACCTGCTAGATTTTTCTGGTTAATACATCTCTATTTTCTGTTCATGTGGACCTCATATTCTTCTTTAACTGAATAAGACAAATTTGCTCCTCTTTGGATCTTGTGAGCATTGCAGTGAAAGGTTAACCACTAGAGTGCAGTGTCCTCATCTGTTTAACAAGTGAAGCAAGTAAAGTGCTTGTGTAGAAAGAAACAGCTTTCTGTCTTTATTGGCATATTCTCCTTGTGGAGTAACACATCAACTAATTGAGAAATGGACTTAATATGGATTCTGGAATATAAAATTGAGATTGGAAGCAATTGTTCTGGCATATCTAAGTAGAAAAGAAAAAGCAAAATAACATTTTTATTTTTTAATTTTTACTGATAGTTTGGTTGGAAATACAGGTATTAGAGGTAATGGAGGAGGGCGAGATGGATAAAGAATGCTGGAAAATGCCAGATGAAGAAGATGATGAAGAAGAATTTTGGGGCTTTGAGGATCTAGAATGCGAGTGCAATAGTCCTTTCTCAACATCCCCTCAGGATTCGATCTCAACGGCGAGCTCTTAGAGCCGGAAAATTAAGATAGTAAATTTGACAACCTAACCCTGCTTTCCTGGACCTGTATATATATATACAGTACATACATGAACGAGGATAAAGGATAAAGAAGATTGAATTATCATACCTACCTGTCTCCTCTGCATTCATTGTCTCCTGTGGATGTACAGTTGTAATTTTTGATTCTATATCATTTCATTAAGAACTGGTGGAATTGTGAGAGAAGCCAAAAATTGTTTGCAGAGCAACAATATTGGGTTAACAAATTCCTCCAAATTAATGAATAATGGGCTTACCCAACTGTTTTTTAAAATCATAAAGACCTTTGATCCATGGGCTAATTGAGTTAACCCCAACAGCTCCTGATCACATATTTGATCAATGGGAGCAGTTGATAAAAGTTGATAGAACAGGGCCACATGGACTGTGACTGCACAATGTAATGGTTTCAGGTTCAGAGTGCCATGTGGACAAAGTCACAACTGGCACCTCAGAAGCTATGTCAAGATCATCTCAAACAGCTAGGATGGTAGCATTATTAACTGGTGGCCCCAGAACCCCGAAAACGCCAAAACATATTAAACTGCTTGGACAGAGATTCATTTTTAATATTGGTATATCTTCGATTTATTCATTAAAAGTTTTTATTTGATTTGTTTATAAAATCGAAAAAAAATAATAATAAAATTATTATTGACAATTAGACGCCATTAAACACCAACACAATGTTAAACATGCATATAAATCAAGGCCATCTATTAAGAGTTTTTATGAATACGGCTGACCATGATCAGCTAAATGCTCAAATAGTGCCAATGTGACAGAGTGTATTGAAAAAAGCACCACGGTTCTAAACACTCGGCATATATTTTCTATTAGAATGCTTTCAAGTAATATATTGTCCGGTGCTTGTAAAAACAACCTTGTATATTTAGGGTTGGTTTGAGAGTCCATTTATCTGAATCTCAACCAAAGCTGTGGCAGTTGACAGAACAGATAGACTTAACACCGCAATAGTGGGGAGCAATCATAAATCCATCATGGGTGTTAGTTGAAAATGCATTGTGGAGAGAGAGAATTATTTGAGTTTTGGAATTATCTAAGCTTTGTGTTGATATTCCTTTCAAGTTCTAATTATTGCTGGTGGGGGTTGTTGAACTTAAAAGACATTGCAGTGGTAGTGCAACGATAATAACGATAACGTACTTACCCAAAAGTACCAATAGTGGGATAGGTTTGAAAACGTATAATAATATCAACGAAGACCGCATGGATATTATCTATAAGTTTACCCTTTCTTTTCCTACAATATCAAAAGAGCCTTATTTTATTTTTAACTACTTGTCTCTTACCCCTTTTTAGATTGGAATAATTGGGAGAAAAAATAAAGGGAATTCGATCTTTAGAATAATTTTCTTTAATAAATTCTTCAGGAACCAAAAAAAAAAAAACTTTCTAAAATTCCAAAAATTTCGTGAAAGGAATAGGAGTTGAATTTATAAGGTGGCTAGAGATTGAATTTTCATTTCACTTACCAAAAGAAAGAAAAAAACAAAAGCTTCATTTCTGATATGATAATGGAGATATATGCATGGGAACTCTTTAGCATAATTTCCTTCAATAAATTCTTCTTTCTTTTTTTCTTTAGAATAAATTCTTCAAAGATCCAAAAATAAAAAATAAAACTTTACCACGTGGCTAGAGATTAATTGGAGTTGGTAGGTCTGCAGAGATGGATATATATATATATATATATATATATGCTAAAGATAACAAGCTTGTTTTGTTTATTGAGTTTTATGACTTCATTTCTACGTTTCCATTAAATTATTAGATTGACGCTTCATTTCTGATATGATAATAATGGAGATATATGCAGGCTGAAGGCCTGCAAACCAGACCTTGTCACTAGAATAAGCTCTCAAGTATGAAATTTCAATTGTGATGATATAGTCAATTCAAAGGAGAGATCAAGGTTTAAAATATCAATATGTTCGATACATCAGTAGGGGTGTATGGGACGATATCAATATTTCTTTATTTTTTTAAATCAGTTCAAAAGGATTGTTTTAATTAAGATTCCTCCACCCCTGAATCGGTCAAAACCCTGATATATCTTTTGTAGAGGCGTATTAAAGAGCTCCTGAAATAATACATATTGACTAATACGAACCGATACTTGTTGAAACTTTAAACCTTGAAGAGATCATACACTAAAATAATAGACACCTGTACTGAACCCGTTAGTGCACATGGCTGAAGGGAAGAGCATCCGGAAAGGATGCATTTGACACCCTAAAAAAATGAGGGTTGAGTAATATAGCTGGATAGAAGGCTACAAAACCCGTGAACCTCTGTAGAGCCTCATAGCTTGTGACCTGTCTATAATTCAAAGGATCAGAATTCAGAGCCTACCATTAGATGGGTCCCACTATATAGATTAACTCAGCCAAAGATAAGCTTGCAGCTTGATTGCTTGCTACTGTGTAATTTACTGTGAAAGTAATCTGACGGAGGAAAATGCCAAGGAAATTGGATTAATACAACTCAAATGGCCACTTTCATTATTGCATTACAGAAAAGGATAATAAACAAGGGAAACGTTGGTCGAAAGAAATCCTTTTGTTTTGTCTTTTATGCTATCTCCAGTAACACAACTTGATTTTTTCCAGCACTTCCCTGTGACAAATGTTGGAAAGAATAGGCGGAACTGCTGATAATGCATTAGCCATCTATAACTTAGACGGGTGTAGAACCGGTTGGATCAATAAGTTTGACTAAATCAATGTTTTTGAGAATCAGGCGACCCGGAGAACGTTTTGTTTCTATTTTCCAATTTGACTCTGACAACATTTATCTATCAGTCTAAATGTTTTTTTTTTTTTATTTATTTATTTTTTTTAACTCTCCGTAAAAGTATGTTTTAAAATGTGACCCGGAGGTTGAATATTTTTTCATTCAGGGCCCATCTATTTTGAGAGAGGGATAGTTCGATATCCATGTTCTTTTTTTTATATTTGTGTAGAGTTTATATTTGTGTAGAGTTTATGGATAAGTAATACTCATCTCCCAGATGGAAAGTAATTTTTCCACTTCGGGAGAAAGTTGTCAATACTTGAATAGAAAAATTATCCCTTTTAATAATGATTTTTTATGGCTAAAATCAAGGATTAAATATTGATACCATACTCCTAATATGAGGCATATTGTATCCGTATCCATGGTCATGGATATGGGATATGCATGATTGGGTACATATCCTATGAGTCGTGTGTATTGGAATGATATGCCTCCGTATTGGATTGTATCAATACCGTATCGGTGGATATGGTCCAATGCAGAAGCGTATCCATCCATAGTTTGACAAAACTGTACATTGATCGCTTTTGGATTGTTAAATAATTTAATATTTAATTTTTCCAAAAAATTTAATAAAAACTAAAAATTATAAAATAATATATTTCATCTACCTTAAATGATTTATATATTTTATTTTACACATAATTATGTTAAAAATGAAAACATAGTTATTATTTGAAAACCTATAGTTATTATATAGAAATACTAAATAAACTTCCCAACAAAATTAATGGAAAATAGAAAATTATAATTATAAAATTTAAAATGAATAATTTAAGATTTAATTTCCCCAAAAAATTTAATAAAATCTGAAAATTATAAATAATTTATTTTATCTATCTTAAATTATTCATATGTTTTATTTACAAATTATATGTAAAATAAAACAATTATATGTTAAAAATGAACACATATTTATTATTTAAAAATAGTTATTATTTATATAAAAATACTAAAATAATAAGTATTCTCAAAAAACATAATAAAATTTGCAAACAATAATTATAAAATTTGAAATAGAGTAATAATTGTATGATGTTTGAATGTTTTAGAGTCCGAAGTATTGTTGATTGTAATATTTCTCTTTATATAACCTATTGGAGTATGCATTTCTCATGTGTTTATACCTTATTTATAAATAATTCACATTTTGATTTAGTATTATTAATGTATTTATGTGATTTGTATACATTTCCGTAGTGTATTCAAGTGTTTCTATATCTTCATATCCATGTGTTTCCAAAGCATATCCATATGTGTATTTCTATCTGACTTGTCCAATATGATATCCAATACCAATATTTTGATTCTTGGCTAAAATGGTCAGTGTCTTATTTACCTAGTAAATAAAAGAACATAGATAAATGCACTTATCAGGTAAGTATTTCTCAGAAAACACTTGTCCAAATAAATACATTTATCCATATAAATAACTTTCCCAATAGCGAACAAGACCACAAGTCAACAGTATAGCCCGTGATGTCATTAATACAAAAATATGCTTAAAAATAAAATAATACAAAATCCCAATAATTTGCTGAATGAGTCAAATGAATCGACTGTTCAATTGTTTAGGTCAAATGGGACCGAATCAACAAATTTTGTAATATAACGGGTTAGAATTGACCAGAACCAGAATTGTGAACGGGTCACCGGTTCAACTGACCGGATCAACAACACTACTATAAAATGATACTCATCTGATGATGGATATTGAAACTTCCAATATGAAACAGGTGGTGAACTATGACGAACCTAGCTAACAAAATTGCAACAGTGGTCCCGTAGGCCTCAAAGCCCAACGGCCCCAACCTAATTTAAAAAAATGGTAAAATTAAAGCCTTCTCTTCTATGAAAACAAAGACCTTATTCTATATTCTATATTGTTTGATAAAATATGGGTAATGAACCGAAGATTTTGTCATCATTCTATATTTTATGAATGGGGCACAGGTCCAAGTGAAAACACAAAAAATCCCATGTTGAAATTTTTATATTGGCAGCTCAACTGCTTCAAAAATCTAGATTGTTTTGTTTCTTATGCATTTTTTTATTTCAAATTACCACAAAGATCTCTGCATACTTGGAATCTTGAACCGCTATGTGTTTCTCCTTTTTATCTTAGAGAAATGAAGCTCACTTCCAATCTTTAAAGAACTGGATCGGATCAGTCGATCGGACCGGAAAAATAATGAACTAGTCCACTAGCTTGTCACATCCAAAAGACTGGAGGTGATAAAAATGGTAAAAACCAGCGGATCAGCAGA